GTTTTTGGTTTGTTCCAGAAATACATTAAGTACCTAAATAAGAACATAAAATATATAATTAAGTAAATATGGCAGGTTTGAGATTAATAGACCTCAGAATCTGTGGTATTTATATGGATTTGGTTGAAAGCAAATCTTAACATAGATCTACCCATGAAACTGGAACGAGGAAGTTCATAGATAAAATGGAAAAAAACTGGAAATATTGTCCAGAAAATGCACCTTGTTTTAACCCTGTATTTCTAGTTTCAGGGGGGAAAAAAATTTTGTTTTTATTCTTTACTTTCTTAGTTATCAATATATATAACAACCAAAATATATTTTAAAAATATAAAATTTGCAGTGTTTTTTAAATGTAACCAAATTGTCGCATTTGTCCATGGACTTATAATACAAGAATAAAATAATGCACCTTCATTTCTATATTATTTTTCATCTTGTTATTAAATAAAAAACAAACTGAAAACTTATTTATAAAATATAATACAAAATTTATTTATTATAATTTTAGTGTGAAATTGAACAAAGCAATTTTTTCTTTTGTGATACAAAGATGAACTTTGTATTTGCTGCAGAAAAATACTGGTGCACTCTTGCAATTTACATTTTTGCATCTTCCTCTGTTTGTGACCTCGGGGTAATGGTGAGGACCATCCAAACGGGAATCTCTTACAGGGAGACTTTCGGTGGCAGGACCTCTTCTCATTTTGTTAGCAAACTCAACATCAGTAAAGCTGGTAGAAGGTCTGCCTCTTTTTGTTGGTCTATTACTTTTTCCTTCAAGAAGAAGAGCTTCGGCAATGCTCATTTTGAACTCTTGCAGACTTTGGATTTTTTTCTCTTTTTTTGTAACTGAAGGCGCTCACAGCCTTTACAATAAAGTAGCCAAGAGCTCACAGCAGTCACATCTATAAAATGAAAAAATAATTTGTGATAATATTTTTTTGATCAGGTGTGAATTCTGTACAGTGAAATTAGTCTATCCAATCAAGCAGTGTACCCCAAAATTACTCAAAGTTCCTGGCTACTCAGTGCAAGCGGTTAATTGGGATTTTGCTGGATTGCATAAAGATTTGATTGGTCGACAATATGGGTAATGATATCCTTCGAAAAAAAAATGTTTAAAATATTCAATAGGACGTTTTACTACCCCAGAAGAATCTATTTGCCCTAACCATTCAGGCATAGATCTAGCTGTACCGTCTCCAGAAATGTGCCCCAAAGAGGAATTCTTCGATTTCTTGATGTAGATGGCTTTGAACTTGTAATTATTTGAATTGATTCTTCAAAAACTGAAGTTTCTAACTGGGGCCAGTTCACTGTCCCTCAGACCTGTGGGAGGGCCGGACTATAGTTTAAAAAAAGCCTATGAACAAATTCCTATGCACACAGCACATACCTTATTTTGAAGTAAAAAAACAAACGGCAAAAACACACGGCAGGCCAGATAAATGTCCTCGGTGGGCCGCAGTTTGAGGACGCCTGTCTTCACTAGTATTATCATTACTAACTACAAGGTCTTATAATTCATCTAAATCAGAATAATCGGGTGTATATTCATTTCCTATCATGGGAAAAATAAATATCAAAATAGTTTGTATAGCAATATAATTAAATTTGTATGTTGTAAAATCAAAAATGTTAAATATACACATTTTATTTGCCAATTTCTGAGTCTGTACCGCTTCCACCTAGGTTATAAATTCAGTGATTTCCATAAAAAAAATCACAATCCATGCTGTGGTAATTTTTGTCATCGTCAATTCAAAAGATGAACATAACGAAGTTGTTACGTTTTGAAAAAGTGGAAACATATAATGTTTTTTTACGAGTATTACACCTTTGACTTAAAAACTACCGTTTTATGCACATATACTAAAAACAACAACACTAAAACTTTACTAGATTGAAAATTATCGTACAATGCACTGAACGCCACTTAATGCACTTAACCTCAACCGGTCAAAATATGTGCCACTATTCAAGCATTTTGCTGCCAAAATGCGTGACTGGCGGTATGCATTTGTACTAGTAAAGTGCGACAATTTCACCTACATTGTCATCGACTCCAAAAGCTTCATAATTTCAGTTCCAGATATTGGACTGAGAACTTAGATACATACTTTCTAGCAACCCAAAGAGGAAAAATAATGAATTTCTACAGTGGCTATTTAAATTCAAACACATTAACTCACCCAGGAACTGATCTGAAGATCAGAAAGAAGTTTTATAGAAGGGCTTCATACATAACATTATACTGTTCTCAACAACTTATTTGCTGTAAGTAAAATACATGTGTCAGTTCTGAACTAACCTGATGAGGCCCTGGGTAGTGCAGTAGTTAGCATGTGTGGCTGCTAACTTAAAGGCTAGAGATTTGATTCTACCCAGAGGGATGCCATAGGAGAGAAAGAAATGTCTTCTGAGAAAGCAGCCAGTCGATGCCTGCTGGAATATAGTTCTCACTCACCCGGGCCACCATGTTGGAGTCTAAACAGCAGCAAACAGAAATAGGTTCCTCTGGATAATTGAAAAGATATATGTATATATTGACACTTGTTCAACTTTTATTCATTTTTCTCTTCCCACCAATAAAATGAGACTCCTTAGGCACAAACTTTTGACCAGAAAGATGTCTGGATTTAATTTTATAATATTTTTATGTTAATTATGTTGGGTTTTTAATTTTGTATTTGTTTTTAAATTTTATTAGGGGCTCTTACAGCTCTTACAATATATACATCAGTTGTAACAAGCATATTTGTGCATATATTGTCATCATCATTTCCAAAACATTTTCTACTTGAGCTCTTGGTATAAGCTCCTCCCCCCACCCCAACCTCGTGTATCCTTGATCGATTACATCTTACTATTTCATGTCTTATACTGTCCGTTGTCTCCCTTCACCCACTTTCTGTTATCCGTCCCACTGAGGGATGGCTATATATCCAACCTTGTGATGGGACCCCCTTTCTCCCCTTTGCCCCTCCCCAAGCATCCCCCTACTGTTTTGATATCACTATTTCTACTACTGTTCCTGAGGGGGTTTATCCTGAATCCCATTTGTTGAGAACCTAATTTTATAAAATTATTTCTTTAAACAAAGAAATGAACAAAAGCAAACAAACTCACTGTTGAGTTGATACCGACTCATAGTGACCCCATAGGGCAGGCTAGAGCTGCCGCTGGGTTTCAGAGACTAGTTCTTTACGGGAGTGGAAAGCCTTGTCTTGCCCGTGGAGCAGCCAGCTAGTGGTTTTGAGTTTAACCATGGCACCATCTTGGCTCCTAATATTTTTTCAGGAGGCCAAAATTATGTTGCCTCGGTATTCAGATGGGTAAAATGTCACTGATAATGTCTTGCTGTTTTTGTGAGCATACTAATAGGATTTTATAGGTTTTGTGTTTAATTCTCTCTTATTTTTTTAAATTTGACTTGCTTTTGTTTTTACCCTCTAAAATCTTTCACGGTTTTAAGGACAAAAATCTTCAAAGTGTGGGGGATAGATAGTAACATTTGATGACCTCTGATATGCTTGTTTTTGAGAAGTGAAGAATTGCTTTAAGACAATAAAGGTTTTTTTCCTTCTTTAAAGGCTGTCACTGTTTTCATTTGATATGATTGCCATAAAGTAGAATTGCTTCTAACACCCTTTTGTCATGTGATAACCATTGGTACTGTTCTGTGACCTGTTACCTATCAAATGGCATTACTTATATATTTATGTCCCTCTTGCTTACCAGCATATCTTTCTGAAGCCATGACGTTGACACAGTCTGAGCAGGTGAGACACTTAATACTTTGCAACAAGGGTTAGAAGGGTTTTTTGTGGAGCAGAAAATGGGTATAAAATAAATGGTTGTGTTCCCCTAAAAATGCGGTAGTCAAAAGTATATAAACTGGGGAGGAGGAGAATACTTCCAAAAGGAATATAAAGCTAATGTGACAGAAACTTTTGTCCTTTTTGCTAGTGCTTTTACAACAGATCTTAATTGGTCAGAAATGTGCTTTCTGAGTATAGAGACAGAAGCCTTTAGTGCTTTCCTGATCATAGTTCAGTTTTTTCCCCCCATTTCCAAGCAGCTTTTTAGTAGCCAAGGAGTTTTGTTAGGCGAGATACAAAGTGGCAAAGTAAAGTGGGGTTTTTCCTTCATCTACCCCGAAAATAAGACCTCCCTGATAATAAGACACCCCCACCCCACCCCCCCGCAAGCTACCGGAACTCTGGACTGTAGCAGAAGGCGCTGCCACGCAGCTCACTGTTGGCCAATGCACAGCCGGAGCAGACAGGAAGTGCAAGGTCTCATTTAATCAGAGAGCCAGTGTCGCAGCCAGCACCAGCTGCCACCTGCTGCTTGCTCTGCCCCGGCAGAGTCTGGCTCATTCACAATTAGACAGTGAGCTGCACGGGGCAGCATAGTTCCATTTTTATCATCCTTAGCTCACAGTGAGTGAGAAAGCATGCTGGGCCAAGGGAGTATCGATTGGATCTGCCTTTTCCTTTTGAAAGGCAATATAAACTTGAATAGTTTCCCATTTGTTTTGTTTTTTTTTAATTCCTTAGTAATCCTGTCACTTTAAATTTTGTTTCGCCTATAACCTAATTTTTGTTGTTCTTTATTTGCTTGCTGGAGAGAGGCTGCTTGGTCTTTAAAAATATCATTATCCAAAGCTAATGGTACTGAGGAAGTAGTAATTATTTACCAGAATAAGATTTCTGCAAGAGAAAATAAGTGATTTTATTCAGTTCCTCAAGCTAAGCCAGGTGAATGTCAAAGTTATGATCTGTCTCTTGCAGTTTGATTTGTCTAGACCCTGCATGTGCATTGAGTTCGTAAGCAGACTGTCTTTTCAGCTGATGTAGAATTGAGAGGATTTCTAATTTCAAGTGAAGTATAGATTAATGTGACCAGACGTCCTGCTTTTGGCGGGACAGTCCCAATTTTTAACAAATTTTCCCGTGTCCCGCGGCGTTTTAAAAAAGTCCCGATTTTTGGAAAGAATGCACGACAAGCTAGAGTATACGGCTTTCGGCTGCCATGTGGCTATTTTGCCAGAATAGGAGTTTTATCAATGGCGTCCCACTTTACCAATGTTAAAATCTGGTCACTGTAAAATCGGATACTGTAAAAGGGTACTTGCATTCTAAAAAGATCTGCTTTGGTTGCTCATTGGAATTGAACTTCTAAATTCCTAAGTGAATGCTGTTCTATGAGTAAAATTATTAGCTTATCCAGAAAAATACCTGGTTAATTTGAAGAAAAACAACTGAGGTCTCCTACGTTGTAAACAAAGCATTTTAAGGTTAGCAAGTTATTCAGAAAGGAGGCTCTGGGGGTCGTATACAACAGGACTTTACTAGAGTAACTTTAACAAGTTGAGCTCTATGAATTGTGCTGTTCTGTCTGTGTTATAGGCCCATTTATCACTGGAATTGCAAAGGGACAGCCACATGAAACAGCTCCTGCTCATCCAGGAGAGGTGGAAGAGGGCGAAGCGTGAGGAAAGATTGAAAGCCCAGCAGAACCCAGACAAGGATGTAGCCACCCACCTTCAGGCATCTCACAAGCCCTCTGTTGAGGATACGGAGGGCCAGAGCCCACTTCTTTCTCAGAAGTACAGCCCGTCCACAGAGAGACACCTGCCTGAAGTTCAGGGGCTCTTTGACAGGGATCCAGACACACTACTGTTTTTACTTCAACAGAAGAGTGAGCCAGCAGAGCCATATATCGGAAGCAAAGCCCCAAAAGATGATAAAACAATTATAGAGGAGCAGGCAACCAAAATTGCTGATTTGAAGAGGCATGTGGAATTTCTTGTGGCTGAGAACGAACGATTGAGGAAAGAAAATAAACAACTGAAAGCAGAAAAGGCCAGACTTCTAAAAGGTCCGATGGAAAAGGAGCTGGATGTAGATACTGATTTTGTAGAAAAATCAGAGTTATGGAGCTTGCCACCACATTCAGAAACCGCTACAGCCTCTTCTACCTGGCAGAAGTTTGCAACAAATACTGGGAAAGCCAAGGACATTCCAATTCCCAATCTCCCTCCCTTGGATTTTCCATCTCCAGAACTTCCCCTCATGGAGCTCTCTGAGGATATCCTGAAAGGACTTATGAATAACTAAAATGGACGGCCATAGAAGAACGAGTAATCCAGAGAAAGAACAAAAGGGAAAACCACGTGCCAGAGTGACCCTAGAGCTGCAGCACCATCTGGCACATACTGTAGCAGAGGCATTGCCAGGACCTTGGGAGACAGTCACTGTGAAATATGTTACATATCTGATGGACTGATTCGAGGTAATGATTCCGGACGTGGCAGGCACTAAACTTTTGGAGACTCACTTTCTCCTGCTACAAACCAAATGGCTACCTGGAATTAATTTTTTCAGACAACAGTTACTTTTCTTATGAGCAGGGTTAAAATGTATAAAAATATGTTATGTGTAATTAATCTATAATGCCATAAATGATAATGCAAACCTAAATAATATGATAGCCTGAGGGGCTGCCTTGTATTCGAAACATTCTATCATGCATTGACGGTATGCATTTGTTCTGCACATTTTGTTTGTTTAAATGAGGTGTGAGATACATACCTTTCTAGATGAAGCTATATGTGCCACACTTTGCACTACTCATGATGATAACCTCAAGACTATCAGGAGAAATATGGAAATTTCAATTCTATGAAGAACAGAACCAAATTATTAGTTACACTTTAAAAAAAAAAATACCAGTTTACATAATTAATCAGGGTGCAGTTTAAGTTCTAACTTTTGTTTATTGTATAATGCATCACTTGAAAATTCCAAGGAAATCGCCTTTTGTTTTTAATGATGCATGAATGGAAGTAATGCTAGTTGGCAGTATTTGGTTATAAGAAAATCAATAAAGTAATTGTGTTTTATATCCTTGTTGAATGTGGTTGGTAGTTAAGAGGCAAGTTTTGTATGACCTCTGCGTGCTGTGAAGTTTGGATGTGAGTTTGCACAGATGCAGTGGAACGATTAATTTTGTGTGGTAGCTCTCTTCATTGATTTGCTTTCCGTTTCTCTGACAGTGAGGGAAATAGGAAACAGACATTCTTGAGGTTCGAATGTGTTCCCAATGCTCAGGGCTACTCCAGGATGGAGGGTGCTGTTCCTCAGGTACCAGCCATCCCAGTAGAGCCCAGTGGCTGGGAACATTCTCCCTACAGAGTCTGAGGATGTTCCAGGACAGGGAAGGGTAGGAGGCGGAGGAGGACGTAAGCACATCTGGGCACAAGCCATTGGGTATATTTAAAGCATAGACTCAGCTTACTGTGCGGAATCAAGGACAGTTGGTGGGTTCAGGGGAGTAGGTTGGGCTCATGTGCTTAAGTGATGAAACTAAAGGAAGTGGGATCGGATGATGTCAGCCATTCAGAGGTCATTTCTTTGCTGTCTCATCTTGGTAACGGTGAAACCAAAACCAAACTAGATTTTAAAATAACTTGAAAAGTTCAGTTCTGTTAAAAGTTCAATGTTAATTTGTCCATCTCAGTGTTACATTATCGTAGACTCTGAGGAATGTTGCTTGCCTAATCTTACAAACTTGAGATTGTTTGTGCCAAAAATAAACTATTTTACTAGTTTAAGCCATTTTTCTTTAACGAATGTTATGTTTCACACGAGCATTTTCTAATTCCACCCCATCTGTCATACCTTCCTTCCCAGTATCTCTTAACAGCAATTTGATAGGTATTATTCAGGACCTTTTTGTATGCATTTCCACTAACAAATGCAAATTAAGCAGACTACTCTTTATTTTTCCATTGTTGCTGAAGCTCATTTCCACTGTTTACTACTCTTCTATTTAAATTTTGTGTCATTAGAATGAAAGTGTCTTTTGATCAGAAAGACACAGCCCTGGAGACTGCCAGATAAGAGTTGGATTGCCAGCTTCAAGGCCAGCTATTCAAACCCCACCAGACATAAAACTCTTTGTTCCTTAAATGATTCGGAGTCTCAGAAAGCTAGGGAGTAGAGTCACTCTGAGTTGTAATCAACCCAGTGGCAGTGGGTTTGGTGCCAATGTTTTTAGATACTGGAAAAACTATACCTAGTTCTTTTATTCATTTGTGGGACTTAGCCTCTGACCACATAGCGTATCTACTAGCTATGATTTTTAGGTCTTCTCGTTGTCTAACAGCTGTTCTCAACCTGTGGGTCCTGACCCCTTTGGGGGTCGAATGACTTTTTCACAGGGGTCGCCTGATTCATAACAGTAGCAAAATTACAGTTATGCGATAGCAATGAAAATAATTAGATGGTTGGGGGTCACCACAACATGAGGAACTGTACTAAAAGGTCGCGGCATGAGGAAGGTTGAGAAGCACTGGTCTAACCTGAGGCATTGGATAGCATTTTAGAATAAGCTTTCTTCCTCAAATAGTTCCATCTGCCCAAACTTGACCCAGGTTCCTGTTCTGCATTCAGTGGTGGCCTCTAAACTTGTTTGCTGTATGGAGTGAGAGCAAGCCCATGTGGTAACCGTCAACTGCCTCATGGGGCTTTCTTAGCTATATAACCTGTACAAAAGCAGATAGCCAGAGTGGCTGTTTAAATAAGAAGAAAATATTTTCCATCTGCAGTGCTGCTGTGAAACTTGCCCCTAGGCTTCCTTTCCAGGTAATTAATTGCCCAACTGAAAAACACAGAATGCTTAGTCCTGAGTTCTCGTTTTCAGCTTTTAGGAAATTCAAAACAAGCATTCTTGAAAAAAAAAAAAAAAGGCATATGGCAACAGTCTTAGATATACTGCTACGGTAACCACAAATAATCTATATTACATAGAAACTTGGTCTGGCTTGAACTCTAGTAGAGTTTCGTTTTCCCCTCTGTGGCCAAAGGGCTTGCTTCTTCAACTTTACTTGTCACTATTGCACATCAGGTACTCTTAGCTTCCCAAAGACTTGTAGGGTGTGAAACGGAATGTCTTCTTATACGCAAGATGCCCTCTTTGGTAGTGTCATGTTTCACTTATGGGGAGCTCTATAGATGAAGAAAAGTGGAGAATGGAAGGCAATAGTCTTTTAATAACCTATTTGAAGAGACAAGATGTGAGCCATAATAATAGCTACATCATTCTAGACCAATAGGTTATAAATAAAGATCATTTTGTTATAGCTTCAGACCTGGCAGAGCAAGCAGAATGGCTATTTAAAAAGAAAATATCTCCAGATTAATGGTGGCCCAGTTGGCATCATCCCTTGAAGGGCCACTGCTGAACAACAATGCCATCTGGTGGACAGTGAGAAGCTGTTCTGGTGCTTGTTGGGTAACTAGCGTGACAGGGTAATTGATCTTCAGTTTCAAGGTTGGGTTTATGCTAGTGCATGACATGGAAGAATTGGGGGTTTGGTTGAGGTCTTACCTTTCTTAGTGTAGAACAGTTAGGGAAATCCAAATGAAAATGAAAGCATCTTAAATAATCTGGTTCAGGTTAGTGAGTAGGGACTGTGCAGCCCTGTATATTTGCTTCTTATCTGACTTGGCCTTTCGGATCTTGCTGCCTGGGTTTAATCACAAGAATGGTAACCTGCAGCCTGCATTTCCCAGGAGGTTAGGTTAGGTTAAGCTGTCAGCAAGGATTAGCTAGCTTGGGAGAGATTTGCAGATCTGGAGAATTTGGCAGCCAAAGCAGGCCTGAAGCAATTTCCCCACGTTCTGGGGAGAGGGATCCACTGAATGTTGGGCTCAGGTTCCTGGGTACAGGACGTCCTGGGCTTTATAGAGTTAAAACATCCATAATCACTAGTAAATACCCAATAGTGAATGGTCTATAGAAAAGGACAGAAAAACACCTCGGTTTAAATTAGTGTAAATGACTAGTGTAAATTGAAGTACTGGCATCAAATATTTGAGGAACACTAATTTGCCTTCTGCCATTAAAACAAAAAGACCTAGTACGCTTCCAGCCTTCATGGAAGCAGCAGCAGGAGTTGGACAGGGCGGGACTCTAGGTTGGAGAACAGCAAAAACAAATTAGAAATGAACTGAGTAAATATGGATCAATCATAGCTGACACACAAAATATCGAATGAAGCATATGGAAAAAATACAGTCACTGTACCAAAAAGAACTAGTCATTCCACCCTTTCAGGAGGTAGCATGTTCAAGCATTAGCCAAAACAAAGGCTCCAGGAATTTATGATGTACCAATTGAAGTGTTTCAGTCAGCTGACGCACTGGAAGCACTCTTCTATGTCAGGAAATTTGGAAGACCTCACTTGACTAACTGGAAGAGATCCATATTTGTACCCTTTCCAAAGACAGGTGACTCAACAGAATGCTCAAATTATGGAACAATATCATTGATAACACATGCAAGTAAAATTTTGCTAAAGATCACCCAACGTTAGTTGCAGTAGTACATTGACAGGGAGCTGCCAAAGGTTCGGGCTTGATTGAGGGGATGTGGAACAAGGGTTATCATTTCTAATGGCAGATAGATCTTGGCTGAAGGCAGACAATACCAGAAAGATGTTTACTTGTGTTTTATTGACTATGCTAAGGCGTTTGATGGTGTGGACCATAACAAACTATGGGTGCTCTGAGAAGACTTGCAGAACCTGTACATGTATCAAGAGGCAGTTGTGCTAACAGAACAAGGGAATGATGCATGGTTTAAAATCAGGAAAGGTGTGCATCAGGGTTATATCCTGTCACCATATTTATTCAATCTGTATGCTGAGCAAGTCATCAGGGAAGCTGGATTAATAAGAATGTGGCATCAGGATCGAGGACGAGTTACTAACACCCTACTGTATGCAGATGGAAGCACTCGCATCTATGCCAGAAAATTTGGAAGGCAGCTACTTGGTCAACTGACTGGAAGAGATCCATATTTGTGCCCATTTCAGGAAGGTGACCCACCAGTGCTCAAAATGTAGAACAATATCATTGATATTGCACACAGGTAAAGTTTTACCTAAGATCATCCAGCAATAGGTTTTACCTCTCACCTTATCTGTTCAATCTATATGCTGAGCAAATCAGAGAAGCTGGATTATATTTTTTAAAATGCAGCATTAGGATTGTAGGAAGGCTCATTAACAAACTGCGATACACAGATGACAACCTTGCCTGCTGAAAGGAGGAATTGAAGCATTTGCTGATGAAGATAAAGGATTCAGTATGAATTACAACGTAATATAAGGGAGACCAAAATCCTCACAACTGGACCAATAGGTAACATCATGATACATGGAAATAAGGTTGAAGTTGTCAAGGATTTTGTCTTACTTGATCCACAACCAATGCTTATGGAAGCAGCGGTCGAGATCAAAGGACACAGTGCATTAGGCAAACTTGCTGCACAAGACCTCTTTAAAGTGTTGAAAAGCAAGGATGTTACTTTGAGGACTTAGGTGCACCTGATCCAAGCCAATGTATTTTTAATTGCCTTATAGGCAGGTGAAAGTTGGATACTGAAATTAGGAAGACTGAAGGATATGTTCAAATTGTGCTGTAGAAGAATATTCAAAGTACCATGGACTACCACAGAAGAAAAGAATCTGCCTTGGAAGAAATACGGCCAGAATACTCCTTAGAGGCAAGGATGGTGAGACTTTTATCTCATGTACTTTGGATACGTGTTATCAGGAGAGACCAATCCCTGGCGAAACTCATGTTTGCTAAAGTAGGGCAGTGAAAATGAGGAAGGCCCTTGTCAAGATGGATTGAGAGTATGGCTGCGTCAATGGTGAGGCTGGCACGGGACTGTGTAGTGCTTTGTTCTGTTGTACGTCGGGTTGCTCTAAGTTGAAATTGACTCTGGCATTCAATGACAACACATATGGTCTTGATCACTCAATTTTCAGCTTCATTAAAGAGTAATGTAATGGTGGATCAATTTGTGGTGTTTATTAAAGCTGTTGGGAATATTCGGTTAAAATAGTATCAGACGAATCTTTAAAATTTTTATGTAACATGATTTCTGTTCTAACTTGGTAAAAAACATAGAAGAGTTATGGGAAGTACTAGTTGCTCTGGGTTGGGAAATTGTGGGCACTCTTGTTATCCTTTCCACTTGTTGGCACCTCATAACATGTTACACTATTATACAAGGAGCCATGGTGGTGCTGTGGGTTAGGCATTGGGCTACTTGGCAAGCCAGCAGTTAAAATGCACTAATTGCTCTATGGGATAAAGATGAGGCTGTCTGGTCACTGAATTTTTTCGTAAAAGCATTTTCACTCAAACCTCGTTTTTTTGTGATGGCCGATTTAAGAGAACAGTTTGCAGCTGTGAAATTTTGTTTCCTGCTCAGGAAAAATGCTGCAGGAACTGTTGTGATGTTGAACACAGCTTATAAGGACAGTGCTATTGGAAAAATTCAAGTGGTTTTCTTATTTCAAAAAAGATGAAATGTCAATAGATGACAAACCTTGTTCTGGACATCCTTCAACGTCCTAAATGGACAAATATGTTCAAAATATGCCAATTCTTATTGTCCTAGCATGTTTGGAGCCCTGGTGCCACTGTTGGGTAAGCTTTGGGCTGCTAACTGTGTCAGCATTTCAAGGTTCAAATGTATCAGCCCCTCTGGGAGAAAGATGAAGCAGTCAGCTTCTCCAAATATTTACAGACAGAA